CTGTTAGGTCTCTCCCATTTTTGTCCTTTATCATGTCCATCTTTGTGCAAAATGTTCCTCTAATATCTCCAATTTTCCTGAAAAGATCTCTGGTTTTTCCTTTTCTGTTATTTTCCTCTGTTTCTTTGCATTGTTCATTTAAGAAGGCCCTCTTGTCTCTCCTTGCTATTCTTTGGAAGTTTACATTCAATTTTCTGTAACTTTCCCTTTCTCCCTTGCATTTTGTTTCCCTTCTCCTCTCTGCTATTTCTAAGGCCTTGTTGGACAGCCACTTTGCTTTCTTGCATTTCCATTTATCTTTGGGATGGCTTTTGTTGCTGCCTCTTGTACAATGTTACAAGCCTCTATCCAAAGTTCTTCAGGCACTCTGTCCACCAAATCTAGTTCCTTAAATCTGTTCTTCACTTCCACTGTGTATTCATAAGGAATTTGGTTTAGCTAGTACCTGACTGGCCCAGTGGTTTTCCCTATTTTCTTCAGTTTAAGCTTGGATTTTGCTATAAGAAACTGATGATCAGAGCCAATTCTTACAGATTTGCAAAAGACACACAGCACTCGCTCTCTCTTTCTTCATCACACGCCAATCTTCCCTCCAATGAGTTCAAGGTAATAAACACAGCTCTCCTCCACTCCACTTTATCCTCATAACAACCCAGAGAGGTCACTCTAGTTGAAACACAGTCAGTAAATTCCACAGCTTAAGATACAACTACAGGAAGAGGCGGTCCCAGGTTGATCTGGGTTGTTTCGAAACTTCCTACAGCAGTTAAATCCCTGTTGTCAGTCGCTCAGCATGTTTTATTATCCCAGGCAATCTGGGGAACGAGAGAGTCTACATCACACTGACATCACTACAATTCTCACAAGTCACCCACCCTCCTCTTTCATTAACACTGCTATCTTCCCTGACTCTTTTTTAAAGGCAAGTGACATACTAATGAATTGATAAACTGTGAAACTACAACACTTATCTGACAACTGGAAAAGTGAAATTAAAAAAAATCCTGAATAGACATACATGCATGGAACTGAGCTATGCTTTGCAGGCCTGAAAATGAATATATAAGGACTCACTCTTGAGCAGGCTGCCACCAAATAGAACTGTGCTTTGTATTCCCAGTGGTGAACTCTCCCAAAAGGCAACCACCATGTGTGCCCAATCTTCTTCACTTTGGCCTCAGGATCTCAATCCCACCTGCTGTTGGAAAACCGTCCTTGAGGTCCTCCCTCAACTGAAATTTGACAACCCCCCCCACACACACACACCTTAGCTATAAAATGTTCTCCCTATTCAGAGCAGAATGATTCTGGGCAAAATGAACTTGGCAGACGGTCGCTTTCTACAGGTTTCACGACATTTCTTCCTCGCACCTGCCAGATTTATGGGCTGCCAGTTTTGTCAGGGGAAATCATTTTGAAAAACAAAAATACACCTCAGGGACCTCAGATCATCATGCAGAGACTAAAGCCTGAGAATAAATATTTGGGTAACCCCTGACAGATCAGAAGAAAACCTATTATAAAATTCTCAGAGACCAGGTGCCTAAAAAAAACTAAGAAATGTAAACCTCAAACATCCTTTCTCTGCAGCTGTCTTGGATTCCAAAGAGCTTGGAAAAGTTTTTTTTAAAGACTCCAAGATTAAAAACTTCCATCCACATACTGACTTGAAGATGCAGCAGAATGTAGCCCAAAAAAGTAATTTTTTCATACTGTGCTTACTAAGCTTAAGATCTTTTTTAAATTGAATTCAATGGGTTACTCGTTATGTTGAAGCCATCAGATTTTTTTTGTCCCATTTGCGAAACTAATTGGTTGTGTTGCATGTTACCATCAAGTCCCAAAAATACAGTACCGGAAGCGCCTCCCTGGTGGCCAATCCTGGTACTGCACCTCAAAAATGCAAAAGAGAAAATAAAACTACAGTACTGCCTTGCCACTTAAGATTGGTAAGAGGATGGCAAGAAAAACCTGGAAAATCCCTCTCAAAATGGCCTACAAATAGTCCTCAAATGTTATTTCTGAAAGCAGTTACAAAATCTTACCTGAGTTAAAAGATAACTTCATCAATTCTTGCTATATTGTAACCACGTTATAGCCTGTTACCTAAAAAAGTAATTAGTTGCAGATAACTTTGCTATGTAACTTTATTACAACCTTTTCCCCGCTAGCCAAGATGACAACAAATTTATTGGCACTTGCCTCTATTTTGTCTTCCTGTTTAAATACTCTCCGAGGCTCACGTAACTTAATTCGTCAAGAGTTATTTTGCATTGCTTTCTTCCCCTTCCAAGATATCATGGCCCTGAAGCGTATGTTGGAAAGGATGGGTGCAGCCAAGACCCACTTAGAACTGAAAAAGATGATCACTGAGGTGACAGGAGGGATGAGTGAAACCATCTCCTACCGAGACTTTGTTCGTATGATGCTGGGCAAGCGATCAGCCATCTTCAAAATGTAAGTGCTAAAGGGGCCATCTCCATCTCATTCTGCCTAACTGTAGGGCCGGCCCTGGCCGAGGTGTTCCTGGTAGGGTTTCCAAGCCCAGAAAGGGAGCAGGGCAGAGTCACCTCAACTAGAAGGAGACCATTAGAAGGCTGAGACTGGTGGAGTGGGGAAAGTAGAGGTCACATACAGTAGAAGCCCCATATCCACTGGCTCAGTATCTGTGACTGCACTTATCCATGATCTGAAAATGTTAGATATTAAAAGAAAAAAATTCCAGAAAATTCCACATGTATGCAAAATGTTAAAAATATTAAAAGAAAAAAATTCCAGAAAATAATCAATTCCAGATGTATGATCAGAACTGGCCACTAGAGGGAACCAGAGACTGTGCCAGGAATTGTTGATGTTGCAGAACTGGCCACCAGAGGGAACCAGAAACTGTGCTAGGAATTGTTGGTGTTCAAAAAATATGGTCTCTAGTCCCCTCTAGTGACAGGTTCTGGTAAGGCATGCAATAGATATATTTACCACATTATGTATTGTATAGTGTTTGCTATTATCCAATAGATATGTGGGACTTGAAACCAATCCCATGCAGATACAGGGTCCCACTGTACTTAGAAATAAAAGCACAGAGTCACCCTACCAGTCAAGACTTGATCATTGGTTAGATGAGCCAATGATCTGACTTAGTGTAAGGCAACATCCTACGTTTCCGTGAAAACTAAGGTCTCAGTCCAATTGATAGTCCCAGCTAGAGCAGAGCCACTGAAATTGTTGCATGGTAAGTCAACCTGTATATACCTCATAGTGATTCAATAGGTCTACTCTAGTGGGAACTTGCAACTGGATTTAAGCCAGATAAATTGTGCTGGATTAAGAAAATGGAATGCCACCAGCAGGGGTGTCCTTGTGTTGTGAACAGTGACACAGATAAGGGCTAGAGCAATGGTTCCCCACCTTGGGTCCCCAGGTGTTCTTGGATTAAAACCTCCAGAAGTCTTCACCACTAGTTATGCTTGCCAGGATTTCTGGGAGTTGTAGGCCAAGAACACTGGAGGACAAAGTCCAGGCCCTGGTGGCACAAGAAGAGGCCTAAAGGCCTCCAAGGGAAGAGGAAAGGATGGTGGCAGCAACAACCAGGTCCTCTACCAGCACTTAGATAAAGCAGAAAGACATGCTGGGGCCACCGCACAGCACGCTGGTCCCTGTAGCATTATAGCAACTTTTTTTTGTTTTCATATGTGTATGTGTGTGCATGTGTGTGTGCATCTGTGTACACACACACACACACACGTGCATGCGTACATAGCTAAAGATGCTCCTTTTATTTCTCTTACATTTAAAATACTAATGAACAATATATATAAAATAATGTGACAAAATGATGCTTATTCACAAAGCCTGGAAAAGCTGTGAAGAAAGGGAGAGCCTTCCACATGCAACTCCATCAGCCCCAGCAGGGACAACCAGGGGTGACAAAGAAGGCGCCATCAAACAAGGTCTAGACAGCCAGAGGCTCCCCATCCTTGGTCTAGTAAACAAGGTCTAAAATTAACTCCATGGTCTAACAGCACCTAAGTGGCACCACTACTTCTCTTCCCATTGGTGGGATAGCTCAGTGGTTTGGGTTTCTGGCTGAGGAGCCAAAGGTGGCGAGTTCAATTCCCCATAGTGCTTCCCGAAAACACAGCCAGCCTATATAGCCTTGGGCAAGCTGCACAGATCCCGAGCTACCCCAGAAGAAGGGAACAGCAATCCACTTCTGAGTACTCTCTACCTGGATTACTATAAATTCAAATAAATTTGACAATGATTCTTTCATAATTATTTCTCTTCACAGAATTCTGATGTATGAAGAAAAAGCCAAAGAGAAGGATGAAAAACCATCTGGCCCCCCTCCAAAGAAAATACTTGCAGACCTTCCATAAATACATCCAAGTTCAAAGAAAAGAAGAGTTTAGTTTTCTTGGTTACAACTCCTAGAATTCTCTAGCTAGTAGAATGGGAACTATGTTTCTCACCTCTGAAAGTTCCAACAGCAGAACAAGAATTTAGGGAGGGGGGGAAATCCCTAAACTATATCAAGAAATATTATTTTTGTAAGGAAAGTAAAATAATGTAGAATGACACCCCAAAGGTTTCTATATTTCCTAATTGATTTTAATATAAACCAATTAATTTAGTTCTTCGGCTCCTCACAAGGGACACCTTAAGACAGTAGTTTCCAACCTTGGGGCTCCAGATGTTCATGGACTACAACTCCCAGAAGCCTTCACCACCACCTCTGCTGGCCAGGATTTCTGGGAGTTGATGTCCAAGAACATCTGGAGGCCCAGGGTTGGGGACCACTGCCTTAAGACTCTCAAAATATGCACAGCCACAAACTCACCATCTTTCTCTACGGTTTTTTTGGAAAGTTTTACAGAACCAGTGAAGAGCCACAAGACTGGATGCAGGCAAAGGTTGTTCACGCCTTCAAAAGAGGAGGTGGGGAAGGGGATCCAGACACCTAATGAGAGATTGGCATCACACGAATACCTGTCAAAAGTCTAGAACAGAAATGAGGAACATGTGGCCTTCCAGAGTCTGTTGGCCCAGAACTCCCATTTTCCATAGGTAGCATAGCCAATAGTGACGGACAACGGGAGGTACAGTCTACATTTTTGAGGGCCTCACATTTATCATGTAACTAAGCAATCACTCTGTGGGAATAAATGCTGTGATTTCAGCAAGCCAGCATGGTTTCCAAGGGAGCAAATCATACAATGTCTATGAATCTCTCTTTCTTTCTCTCGCTCTTTTTATAGTAGACAGAATTGAACATAAGATCATAAGCCGAGCCCTGCTGGATCAGGCCAGGGGTCCATCTGGTCCAGCTCCCTGGATCTCACAGGGGCCCCACCAGATCCCTCTGGGAGCACACGAGACAACTAGATCCCTGTCTCCTGATCCCCCTCCCCTGCATCTGGCGTTTTCAGGGACCTTCCTTCGAAGCCTGGGGATGATATATCCCCATCATCACGGCTTGTCTCCTGCAATGGACTTTTCCTCCAGGGATCTGTCCCGTCCCCTTTTGAAAGCACCTAGGCCATTTTGTACCATGGCATTATCATGTTGGCTGTTTTATTTTCAATCCCTCTTTTTAATGATTCCTAGCGTGGAATTGGTCTTTCTTCGCTGCCGCCGGGCACGGGGTTGACCTTTCCACGGAGCTGTCCACACCCAGATCTCTTTCTTGATCCATCATGGACCGCTCAGAGTGCGATATGCAAAGATGATGACAATGTGCTTGGTTTCTGAACTGAACGTTTCGAATTCCAAGAAAGGAGATTTCAGAGAAACTTTGGGACGAACAAGCTATGGACCGGATCTCTTTGACCCTTGAATGGGTAACCTTGGAAGTCGAAGTTGCGTATTCTGTTAGAGGTTCTGAATCAGAAACTGGGTGCCCACAGAAGCTGTAGTCGCAGAATTTCTGCGTCACGGGGAGGGAACCTCGTACGTTCTTCCCAACCCCAGAATTCTATGGTCCCAAAATAGGGGGAAAGGTAGGAGGACGATTATCCATGTGCTGGTGGCTAACAGGAACAGTTGGGTTCTGTGAGATTTTAACCAGATCTTCCTGAAACTATTGATGTGTTGGGGACCCACTATCGGTTCAGTGGGTTGTCGCCTGCTTCTTTCCGATGTGCAGAATGCTTTCGCATCTGTTGCTGCAAAAATTAAAAAAAAAAAATCAGTGTCAGTCCAGGGATATTTATACCGAATAAAAGCAGTTAGTTTTAAGGCGCGACTTTTTGTTTCTTGTGGCCCTAAAAGAATTGGGCGTGTTTAGCCTTGAGAAAAAAGGAGACTGAAGGATGATAGGATAGTACTTTTCAAATATTTGAAAGGTTGTCATACAGAGGAGGAGTAGGATAGGCTTCAGTCATCCCAAAGGATACGTCATAATGCGCTCAAACTGCAGGAAAGCAGATTTTGGCTGAATATCAGGAAAAACTTCCTAACTGTTAGAAGCAGTACGACAGTGGAACCAGTGACCTCAGAAGTTGTTGAGCGCTCCAACGTTGTAGGCATTCAAGAGAAGGGCGTCCAGGATTGACGTGTGACCTTCTCGCGCAAAGGAGGGAAACCATCGCCGAAGTGCTGGGTTTGCATGTTTGCATGCGCAATTGCAATATGCCTCATCCCACAAACGTTTTCCCCTAAAATTTGGAAACAAGGACAATATAAGGAGCATTTTTGCTATCTAGGGACCGTTGGAGTGTCGGTTTGGAAAATGTTCCCCCTGCTCCTTCCTTCAAAACATCCCTCTTCCTTCCTTGCCTTGTTAATTTGCTCCTCCTTTTCCTAAATCATGTCCCTCCCTCCTGCTGCTTCTTCATGCCTCCCCGTTGAACCGGTGGTCATTATGGGGTGGGTGGCTGGGTGGGAGGGATGCTGATGATGAAAGGTTTCTTGTTCCTGGGTGGTTTGAAAAGGTGGTTGCTGTGGGAGGTTGCTTGTTGCTAAGGTCATTTGATGGGTTTTTTGTGTTCCTGGAAAAGATCTTCCTCCAGCAAAGGATGATGACAAGCAAAGGTTTAGATAGGCAGGCAAGAAGATAACAGGGAGAGACAGAAGGACAGAAGGGAGGGGTAACGGTCGTCTCTCTCTAATTAAACTCTGTCAACTGTGTTTAATCTATTGTCTCCAAAGCCTCTTTGTTCCGCATACAGAGACCCATTGGCTTGGGTTAAGGTGGAAGGGTTTGCTGTGAGAGTCCCAACCAACCAATGTGTTATCCCCTCTCCTTTTTTCTCTTCTTAAAGGTTTGAGTTTCCTACATTGGCAGGATTGGTACCCGGAAAAGAGGACGGGAAAAGTCATGCCATGATAAACAGCCTCTTCCATGTCAAAATTCAGATGGTTTTACAGATTTGAAAAGGGTACATTTTCAGATCAGACCCCAACAAGACAGGATGGGAGGCAGTGGAAGATTGGAGGGCCTGGCATGCTCTGGTCCATGGGGTCACGAAGAGTCGGACATGACTAAACGACGACGACGATGGCTTGTAACCTGCAATGGACTTTTCCTCCAGGAATCTAACCAATCCCCTTTTAAAGGTCATATGCCATCACCACATACTGTGGCAAGGAGTTCCACAGACTAACAACACGCTGGGTCAAGATATATTTTCTTTGGTCTGTTCTCACTCTTCCAACACTCAATTGAAGTGGATGTCCCCTGGTTCTGGTATTGCATGAGAGGGGAAAAGAGCTTCCCTCTATCCATTTTATCCAACTCCTGCATCATTTTAGGCATCTCAATCATTTCCCCCCTTTTTCTCTAAAGAGCCCCAAACGCTGTAGCCTTTCCTCATCACGGAGGTGCCCCGTGTAAGAAGGTTCGTTGTTTACCTTAGGCTGTTCCTCTTCAGGCAAAACAAAAGATGAGTCAGGATTATTATTAAAGGAACTTTTATTAATACAACTTGTCTTCTTTGTTTAACTCAACAGAACTATATAATGACAACTGGGGAGGAGAACACTCCCAAAATCACATGAGAGATTTCTCGTTGTTGCTATCTTTCAATAATAAGTTTCGGCTGACTTCTCCTGCTCGGTGGGTGGTCTCAGATACCCACTGCGGACCACACATATGGTCCCGCAACATGGGTGGCAGGACCATTCTCCCTCTGTCGGTTTCTCTTTCATTGTGGCTGGATCTACTTGGTGTACATGACGCTCTGGACCCCTGCCCTTCGGGTAGACTAATACCGTCCATTCCTCTAGGCTTAGTCTTGGTATTATGGGTCTCGCTTTATTTATTTAATTTATTTAATTCGATTTTTACCCCACCCCTCTAGACAACGTCTACTCAGGGCGGCCAGGGCTGGATCTACTTGGTGTACATGACGCTCCGGACCCCTGCCCTTCGGATAGACTAATACCGTCCATTCCTCTGGGCTTAGTCTCGGTATTATGGGCCTCACTTTATCTTTGGCCAGTATCTCTTCTCCTTCTTCATCTACGTTTGTTGACGTTCTCTTTCTAGGCACGGAGAATACCTAAGTTTCTTTATCTTGTTTCTTTGTTATGTTTTTATTAATAATGGTCACTTTCTCAGTCTCTTTAGACAAACCACCTTCCTCAGTCGTCAGAAAGACATCTTTCCCCTCACACCTCCTAGCTCCTTCTTTTCTCCTCCCTTGGTTGTTTCTAACCAATTTAACCGCCTTTCACTCTCGTGGCTGTCTCTGTCTCGTGTCATCCCTATCTCCTCTGCACGATCATCTTCCTTTTCTCCAGCGCGTGTCTCTGTCTCTTGCTCTTTCCCTTGTTCTCTCCCTATTTCCCATTCTGATCTTAGCGTTTCCCTTGTTTGTTCTACACTAGGTGCTTGAGTGCTAGGCTCACTCTCTGATTCCATTCTCTGACTCGTCCTCACACCCCAGCCCAGTCATCATTTGAGTCGCTCTCTTCTGCACCTTTTCCAGTTCTACAATGTCTTTTTAGAGGTGCAGCGATCAGAACTCTATGCAATACTCCAGGTGCAGCCTTATCAGCATTTTGTACAATGGCAAAATTGTACAAAAAAATGTTGGCTGTTTTATTTTCCATCCCCTTTTTAATGACCCCTAGCATGGAATTGGCCTTCTTCACTGCCACCACACAATGAGTTGACCCTTTCATCGAGCTGTCCACCAGCACACCAAGATCTCTTTCCTGATCTGCCATGGACAGCTCAGAACCAATCCGCTGATAATTAAAATTTTGATTTTTTTTTCCTCCAATGTGCGTTACTTTACATTTTCTTCTATTGAAACACACTTGCCATTTTGCTGACCATCCTCCCAGTTTGGAGAGATCCTTCTGGAGCTCTTCACAATCCCTTCTGGTCTTCACCACCCAGAAAAGTTTTGTGTCATCTGCAAACTTGGCCACCTCACTGCCTATCCGTCTGCAGGTCATTTATAAACAGGTTGAAAAGCACCAGCCCCAGGAAAGATCCCTGGGGCACACCACTCTTCACCTCTCTCCATCGTGAAAATTGCCCATTGACGCCTATTCTCTGTTTCCTGGTTCTCAAACAGGAATTGCTAGGCTAAGAGATCAGCAGCATGGCATGGGTGTAGTTTAACTTCATTTCAGCCAGGTTGCCTGTACAGTAGGATGTCCTTATCCACAGGATCAGTATCCACTGATTCACTTAACCACAGTCTGAAAATATTAAAAATATTAAAAGAAAAAAACCTAGAAATACCGTATGTATATTTCTGAAGAGGAAATTACCAGGACTGGCCACTAGGGGAAACCATGCAACCTTACAGCATTTGCTAGAGAAATATACTTCCACAAAATCATTACCAGAATTGGTCAGCAGAGAGAGCTAGACAACCATATTACACATAGTGTTTGCTATTAGAGTTTGCTATAATCTGTGTTTTTCAGCATCCATGGGAAGGGGCTTGGAACCAATCGTCCACAGATACGGGGCAGAGTGTGTGTGTTTCCTACTGTCATTTTTCTTCTCCTCCAGACTAGCAACGTGTAGCTACACCGACATGGCTACTCCAGTTGCTGCTCTCAGCCCCCAACCAGATTCGGCTAATGGTGAAGTATGACAGAAGCTGCCGTTCGACAACACCAGAAGAGCCACAGACCCCCAACCGTCCAACCCTCCCCTTGGTCTAGGGTAGCGAAGGCAAATGCAGAGCCCTCTCTGTGGGCGCGCGAGCCATAAGTTGCTGGATCGCTACCCCCGGCAGCCAAACCTCAGGAGGCAGCTGCAGTGCTAGCACTGGATCGCTACCCCCGGCAGCCAAACCTCGGGACGCAGCTGCAATGCTAGCGCCCCGACAGGTGGCGGGCCAGGATCCAGAGCAGCTGACGCTGGTGGCGGCGGACTGGCCAAGCTATAGACAGTGACAGGGTTGGGCCCAACTGGAAGTGGATCCGGAGTGGCATCTGAAGGCATCTCCGTGCCCGGGATTCCTGCTTCCGCCACCACTTCTTCCGCCGATGTCCACCTCCCGCTGGGTTGGGAGTTTTTTTTGTTCTGTTTTGTTTTGTTTTACAACTGGAAGTGGATCCGGAGTGGCATCTGGAGGCATCTCCATGCCTGGGGTTCCCACTTCTGCCACCACTTCTTCCGCCAATGTCCACCTTCCGCTGGGTTGGGAGTTTTTTGTTCTGTTTTGCTTTGTTTTGTTTTGCAGTTTGGGCACTTGGGCTCAGAAAGATTCGCGATAATGAGCCCAGGGAATGTACCCTTCCGTGGATTTTGAGCTCTCTGTGATCTAAGAAAGAAAGAAGTGACAAGTGAGATATTGCAAGGTTATACTGTATACTTGAATCCCATGTTGTTCGGCATCTTTAAAATAAGAAAGACGAAGGAGCAGAGTGGGTGCTCCTCGTATTTGCAAAAAACATAAAAATGGCCAAAAGGCAGGGGAGAGATCTGTGGTGATCTTCATCAGTTGGAAAACAGCCGTAATCAACAAAAATTTCAGAGAGTGAAATGTAAAGATTTGGAAAAAAGTATCAGAATGGACATTAAAATTAATGTGCAATTAACTCCTTTTGCTTCCAAGATTTCCTCACAGATATGTGTGCGTCAAGAATAATGTGCAATTAACTCCTTTTGCTTCCAAATTTCCTCACAGATATGTGTGTATCAAAAAGCTTTTAAACGTGTTTTAGTATTGATTTTATTTACCATTTTTAATATTATACTTGTTTAATTCTTTTTAAATATTAGAATACCGACTGTTCTTAGCTTTTAAAAATTGTCTTTTTAATGATATGGTATGTTAGCTTTTAAAGATTGTCTTTTTAATGATATGGTACACTGGCTTGGGTCCCTTTAAGGAGAGAGGCAGTGTAAAAAATATTTTAAATAAATAAAATGAACAAGTAAGCCACATGCAAGAGAACTTCATGAATCAATTTCACAAATTTTTCATGAGAAGACTCACTAGAAAAAGACAAGAATTCATGGGAAAGCTGAAGCTAGCAAGAAACCAGAAGAGCGAGTATGAGATGGACTGACTCAAAAACTGAGTCTTTTAAGTGTCCACATTCCCAGGGTATTCAAAAAGTCAGAGACGGACCTAACGACACATAAATAACAACACTTTTACATACATTAACCTTCCATAATCGATGAAGCTCAGTATACTTACATTGATCGGTCTGCCAGACTAGGCGGCATCTAGAGGTCCTGGACTACAAGCTCCATCATCCTCCGGCACCAGGGTTGATAGGAGTTGTAGTCCAACATCTCTGCTGAAGGTATCCGGGCGGGCTGAAAGACGGGCACGGATTCCCACCCATGAACATCACTCTACCCGATCTCCACTAAAGCCTAATACAGTATTTGATCGGAATCCCTAAGTCCTCAATGGATCTTCGTCTTTAAATGCACAGAGAGAGAGAGAGATCTTCTCCGCCCATTTAATCCACCCATTGGAAGCGATGCAGCGATCGACTCCTCGCCCTCCCGCTACACCTGCCCACCGAACTCATCCAAGCCCCGCCCCCTTTCCCCGCTCTCAAAATCCCTTCCTCCGGGTTTTGTCCCTTTTAGCCCCTCCTCTCACGCAGCGTGGAGGGGCGGGGCATAGCCGCCGCCGCCGGGGCCTGGGACCCGGATGGCCGTTTAGTCGGTGCTTAGACGCCGAAGCTGCCACATCGGGGCTTGGACAAATTACAAAACAGGCGGAGGGGGGGGATAAAGTAATCCGCCTCCATCCTCCGTCTAGGACGCCCTTCCGCCCTCGGGAAGCTCGTATCCGGAGAGAGCGGACCGAGCCCGATCCGACGAGGTGGGTATAGGCCTGGTTCGTTGCCAGGAAGCTCCCAGAAAGCGGCGCTGGTTGCGAGAGAGTAGGTCAGGTTGAGCCGGCAGAACGTTCGGGGCCTCCGCCATCTTGTCCCCCCTGCTTCATCCTTGTGGGCTCTTCCCGAAACGGAATCCGGGGCCATCCGCGGCTTGGGCCTCCTTCGCCCTTCCCTTGGGTCAGCCCTGCTTTTCCCGCAACGCTTCCTTTGGGGGCTCCCGGTGGGTATTTGCCCTCGTCGAGGGGAGCCTGAAAGGGGTGCCTAAAAGGTTACCCCAGAGCGAAAACCCTACAAAAAAAGAGAGAGGAGCGACGAGGGCGGCTAGAAGAAAGGGGCTTTTGACCCATTGTTAGCCACCCCCCAGCCCCGTTTTGTCCCCCTCACAAAAAAAAATACAGGGGAGGAGAGTCTAGAAAGCCTTCCCGGAGAGAAGGAGCCGGTCAGAGAGGCCTGTAGGAGTTTCAAGGTTCAGGTAGAGTTCAGTTAAAACCCCCCATTTTGCGCGCGCGGGTCCCCCCCGCCGTCTCTATGGAGGAGCAGGGAAGAAAAATCCCCTCACCTTTGTATGATATATGTGTGCGTGTGTGTGTGTTTGGTGATGGGGGGGTTTTGTGGGCCGGTGTGGAAATACAAATCCAGGGCAGACCAGAAGCTGGTGCCACAGGGAGGAGGGCAATCAGAAACATTTAATTGAAATGCCGAGGATCCATGTTTAATACTGTTTAGAAATGCTTTGAATTTATTGGGAGGGGGGGTTTAAGAGGGATTGGGATGCCCTCTGAATAATCTTGAGGACCAAAGAGATTGCCTTATTATCTCACACACACACAACCCCCAGAAAATACGGCTCTGGTTCTTTCTGGCTGATGCCTTTTAAAAGAGCGCAGACAAATGCCTGAGATGACATCTAAAATGGAAAACAAAGCGAGGGCAGGGTGTTCATTTCTTCCGTTAATTTATTTCAGAAGTGTAAGGATGTCCTGGTGGGAGAGAGCTTTTTCTTTATCTCTCTCCTCCTCCCCCAGTCTTTGGCCACGATTTGCACCATTAGTGCACCAGGGTTGAGTTTGAGGCATCTCAGATCCAAAATGCCACTGTTTTCTTTTTTTGGGGTTGGGGGGAGGCGAGGAATCACTTTTCCACCCCCAGCATATCTTCAGTGCCAAATCGCCATTTGAGATCTGGCACTGCAACCAGGAGAGGCTGTTCATCGAGCCCCATCCTAGGATAAAGGACCTTCAGATTATTATTTTTTGTTTCAAAACAGCAACAAAGGACTAGAAAATTCCAAACCTATTGGAAAAAAAAACTGAGCCATTGCTTGGTCTAATCTCCTTGTGTGTGTGTTTTTTTTAAGCATGCAGTTGTAAGTGCCCCAAGGTTGGCTGTGTATGGTTTAAATTGCAAATTTCGAAATCCTTATCTGCCTTTATTTTTTAGCTAATATTTAAAATATAGGTATATTTTAAGGGAGAACAGTGAACATCGAAATAGATGGGGGAGAGGAGGTGTGGCAGGTATTTAAAGATTTTGGGCAGCTTTACTAAGATAGCAGGCAAAACGGCGCTTTTGGCTACCCATTCTAACACTCCTGCAAATTGAAGATAGGTTTATTCCCAATTTGAAGGAAGTATACTGTATCCCACTAAATGAAGGCAGTGTTAGTTGACTGTGAAGTTACAGCCCTGTTAATTGTGAGATGAACCACTTGGGTTCTCATAAAAACCATTTGACTGCAATTGAACTTAAAAATCTGGACCTGTGTTCAAGATTGTTGCAGGGTGTCATTGTTTTTAATGGCTTTGAAGTGGTAGTGAAAATATTGACGTGTCTGTGCTTGAGTGCCAACAGCAATGCCTGGTTTTATTTTGTTTTCGAAATCTAATCGAGAGAGAATCTTTCTGAACCATTCCATTTGAGGGCGATGAACAACACTTCTTTGAGGATCCATAGTGCTGAAATGTCTGTAGGAAAGGGGGAAGAGAGGCTCTTTCCTTTACAACCCTGTGCACCCTGAACATAAAATCCATTGTGCGGAGGGAAAGAATCTCCTCTGCCTTCTTTGGTTAGCAAATATTAATCGGCTGGCTGTTGTGTGCGTGACCATTTGTTTGTTTCCCTTCCTTTTGAATAGAACTGCCAGAATTAATTTTGCCTAAAATCAGAGTTCACATTTCCTGGAATTGTAGCAAGAGAGAGGGATGAGGGTGATTTGCGGGTGCATGCTGACACACACAAAAAAGGAAGCTAATATGGCTCCTTTTCATGTCAGAACCATTGGTCTCTGAGTAGGGTGATTTTCAAAATGCTGGGTGTGTTTATGCAGCAAAAAGGGTACCTCCCTCTCACCCCCCAGCTCAAAGAAATGCCCCCAGAACCTGGGAGACAAGCGAAGAGCTTTTTTTTTGGATGAGTGTCTACAGTGCCCACAAATAGATTGTGATAAATGAATAGTGAGGAGTTAAAATGGCTAAATCTTCCATTGCATGAGAAGTGGGTTTCCCATTTATTTTCCATGTGCCCTAAATAGCAAGGCAAATTTTAAGTGTTGCTAATGCTAGTTGTGAGGAAAAGGGAGGATCCAGCTTGTTGGGGAATATTCTTCTCTTCCCCCCCCAAAAAAAAATCCTGGTATAGTCTTGGATCTCAGTTAAAATGGTTAGGAGGGGTGGATGCAGGGGATGGGTGTGAGCATGCAGCCTATAGAGGTGTTGGCTGTTTGTTTCCCTGCTTGATTCAAAACCATCCTTTAAAATGGTTGCTGGCGGAAGATAATCTCATTTTCGTGCCCTATTGGAATGGTGTGATTTTGAAAGGCTTATTTGTTCTGTTGAAATGACTTGCTTTTTCCCAATTAAATAAATGCGGATTGCTTTTCTGAATGTGGTTTCAAACGAGGAGCATCTTCACTGATTTTAAAGTCTGCTCATCTGTAATGCAGCTTCAAGATCCTGCAGATGAACTGAATATATTAATAATTAATGGTTGCTGATTCGATATTGCTTTGGAGCTGAGGGTCTTTCCCCCACTTTTTTCCTTTCAAACACTTAACAAAATAATTACATTTCATTTTAATCACTTAAATACGTTAGAATCATGTAAAACACGGATTTCTAATAAAATGGTTAGAGGCATGGTATACAATTAAAAGTGGAATAGGGTGGGAAAGTATGTTCTCAAAAGGCTGTATAAGTAATGGACGCAAAAATTATCTACTGCTAGTGGGATGCTAATTTTAAAACAGCTGCTGGCTTGTTTTTGCTCAGGTACCATTATATCTGTTTGTGCAGCGCTGTGGGAATTGGACATTTTAGGTATACATTATGAAATGAAAGTACGAAGGGGATGGTTATTTAGAAGCCTTTTCAGAAGATTAAAGGAATATGAAGTACAATCCTATTAAAACTAACTAAATCATTTTAAAAATCAGCGGTAATCAAAGAGATACAGTCTATTGTATGTGATGAGATGAAAATCTTTTGCTGTTTCAGTTCGAGGGTGGTCAGAATTATTTACAAGGGGTGGTGTAAATCTATTCAGTATTTGGCATGGTGATATAATACTGTGATCCTAATTAAGATAACTGGATCTCATTGTATTTAAGTCATTTCTATGTGCAATCAAACTAGTATAGAATATATGTAAGGGGCATCTGCACAATGAAATGGCTGATGGGCAAGTAGGTCCAGGCCTGATCCAGCTGTGGTCAGATGCCACAGAACAGTACTGATCAGTTGTTTTACAGTCAGAACAGGAGGTAGGCTGTAGAGCCATCCGCGGTCCCCCACATATTTGTTGTTGGTGATAATCTGCCTGAAAGCAATCCAGTATTGGGTTATGGATCAGGCCTTCCTAGGAGATAATTTTACAATATCAGTTGATTTAATTAGCATTAAACTTTGCATTTTTGGAGGGACTAGATTAAATATCTCTTAAATCTTCTGTTTAAAAGCTGAAGATGCTCAAAATCTCTTTTAGTGAAATAAAATGAATACTTAGAAGAGCCACGTTACTTCAGTGCTGATTTGCTTTTTCTTATACATAATATATGATAGGCATCCTTGATTAACTGTGATCCTAATTTGTTGAGGGGAGTGGTGGGTTGATTTCAGTGCAGCCATAGTTTGTAGTGGTACCAGTATTTATAAATGGGCATGACTTTAAGTGACCATTAGAATAACACTAATCATTGATAGCACTTACAGTGGTATTCTGATGGTATGGTACTGTTCAGAGTTTTTTTTACTAGAGGTCAGCACATTACAGATAGACTTGTAATCAAGTGTAATTATGATGTAGATGTTAAGAGGCCTTAACAGTGACATGTGACAGATAATGGATTAACTACCACTGAATCTGAAATATATTCCTCTGTGAATAAATTAACATATGTCAGAGATTCCATCGTTCTGTTTCTGATTTCCTCCCTTCCAACCCCCATTTTGCCTTTTCGCTGAGTAAAATTTTACAAGTAACACCACCAAGGTACATAGCTACCACTGTCATTGTAAATAGTATTACTAATTTTCTTTTTAAAGAAAAGACTAGCTGAAAAATGTAATCTGTCATGCTTTTCTGCTGTGGAGTTTGGTTGGTGGGCCAGTTTCATGGCTGAACTTGAACTATAGTTGAACTCTTTGTGAAAGTAAACTTTGTAGGCCATAACAGAGATGTGGGTAATCATGTCTCTAGACTGAACTTGCTAAGTGCTTAGTTTGTTCATATTTTCTTAAATCTGTTTGAGTATCTGGTAGTCACTGGGACCCAGATTTCTTCCTTACCACCCTTGTGTCCCCAGGCATCCTTCCCTCTACACCAGTGGTCCCCAACCTTGGGCCTCCAGATGTTCTTGGACTACAACTCCCAGAAGCCTTCACCATCACCTCTGCTGGCCAGGATTTCTAGGAGCTGAAGTCCAAGAACATCTGGAGGCTCAAGGTTTGGGGACCACTGCTCTACACCATTGTTCTCGAGTAAGAGTGGG